ACACACACACACACACACACACACACACACACACACACACACGATGGTGGCTAATGTGTTAATTTGATTGTAGAAGTCATTATAAAATTTGTATAAATATAAAATGATCACATTGAATGCTTTTTTTGGTTGTTGTAAATTATACCCCCAAACAGTTGGAAAAATAACCCAGTAAACCCAAAAGACATGAGACTTTTCTCAGCTCACATGGAAAACTGATCTCAGTGATTCATATTTATGCTTGGCATACTGCTGTCTTCCAGAGGCTTAGTTATAATTGATCAGTTGAGTGTTGATGCATCATAGCAAATCTTACCTCAGAAAAAGTGTTCTACTGTGATTTGAACCCGGAAGTGTGGCTGCATCTCTAGGCTGACAGTGTGTTGGTCACCCTAGTGTGCTTCTGGTGGCTCTGTGTCTCCCTGAGAAGACTGTTCTCTCACATCGAGAGCTTTTCTGAGAAGTCTTGTGATTGATGAGGAAACCAAAAGTCACAGAGATTAATTATTTGCTTATCCAAAGTTTAGCTTATAGAAAAACAGACTTAATCAGATTCCTTTTTTGAGCTAGTACTGGCTTGCAGTTTCTCTGCTGTTATTTTTATTATTTAACCCCCCCCCCAAAAAAAAAAAAAACAAACCTTAAGATTTACCTGGATGCAAGAATACTTCTCTGTTATAGTTACATAACTACATATTTTTTTTGTGTCTGAGTTCTTTTTTTTTTTTTTTAATTTTATGTGCATTGGTGTTTTGCCTGCATGTATGTCTGTGGGTATCAGCTCGTGAAGTTACAGACAGTTGTGAGCTGCCGTGTGGGTGCTGGGAATTGAACCCAGATCCTCTGGAAGAGCAGTCAGTGCTCTTAACTGCTGAGCCATCTCTCCAGCCTGATCTGATTTCTTTCACATACATCTTTTTGTAGCAGGTACTAGGACTTCATTCCTTTTTATATAATTACATGAATGGATATGCCATATTTTCTCACCCGTTTATTAGTTGCTATTTAAATCATGTCTACTTTGGGATATTATAAATAATTATGTTACACATTCTCATAAGCAAGTTTTTGTATGAGTAAATATTTTCAGTTCTCTTGAGCACATGCAGTACCTGAAGGTTCAACTCTTCCATCAAATTTAGGATTTCGGGAAACTACCAACTTGTTTATCCAAGTGATGATACCATTTACACTTTCTAGTGAGACCATTTATACCCCCACCAATAGTGCATGAAGGGTTGGGTTTCTCTCTTCACCACTTTTCACTCTGCCTTTTTTCACTGTAGTGTGTGTATCTTTGTCTATCCAGTGGCATTTCATTGCATATCCCTAACTACTGATGGTGAACAGTTTCGGTATGCTTTTGGCTTTTGCTTATCTTCTTTTAAACAATCCCTGTTTATATATTTTGTCAGTTTTTTTCTTAACTGGTGTTATATTTTCTCATTTGGCTATGAGTTATTTATATATTATATTCTCCCCTTGTACAAGTCCCTTGTCAGCTCTGATTGGCTAATTTTCCTCCCTTCCCCCATTCTGTGACACCTCTTTCACCTCTTGGTGATGTTCTTTGATTCTGTCATTGCTTTCTTGTAGTCTGTAACTGAGGGCAGCAGCTGTCAGACCCTTAATATATAGTCATGGCTGGTGCTTAGTGTCAGCTCAGTACTGAAGAGGGTTTTGTAGCATATTGTAAGTAAGCATATGCCCCCCAGACAAGGTGCATCTCTCTTATGTCGGGGACAGCAAATAATATATACAAGCAGCAGACACAGATTTTCTGGTCTTTCATTTAAGAGGTGAAGCCATTAGAGATAACACTAGGTTCTCTCTGTTTTCCTAGATCCTCTGAATGGTTCTGGTGCTTTTTGCTTATAATTTTAGTGAGTGGCTTTCTAATGAAGAAGAGATTTTTTTTTTTCTTACTTCTTATGGAAAGCTCTTCAAGTAGTCTGTAAAACTTTTCCATTATTTACTGTTATAGCCATAAGAATCTTTACAAGACACATTGTATACAGTCTTTTAATTGAAAAGGCCAGATGTTGCCAATGAAGTCTCTAGGTATTTAGGAAGCTCCAGCTGTGTGCTCAATATTGGTCTGTGTCTCTCCGCAGTGTTGGCACTTGAATTTGAATGACATGTATCCCAGAAAATATGGTTTCTAAATTCCCATAAATCATACACACATTTTTCATAAATTATGGAAAATGAAATATAAATACAAATATTCCATGCTCTGTAATAAATAGTTGTGTTAATTGTTGAATTATTGAATCAAGAAGCTTTTAGCATCACTTTCCTCCCTAAAGTCCTTGACAGACTGACCTCCCTTTACATTGTCAGACTTTAAAGTTAGGACATCATTTTAAAGACCTTCCACTTAATGGCTTAGTCCCCACTGGTCAGTAAGCAGCTCCTTGAGTTTATTATAAATTTTGGCAGGAAATTTCTAGGTCACCAGAGGACTCTTGATTAAATTACTCCTGAAGTGCACTAATTGGCCCTTTCACAGTGCTTAGGGAATTCCAAGGAGACACTGAGCACCCAGCACAGTTTTGTCCATTCAGATCCAACTTAGCCATCTTTTCTTGATTTTTGTTTTAGCAAGCCATTTTTTTTTATCTCCTTCAATTTCTGTTGATTGTAGTTTCTGATGAAGAATTGAAAAGAAGAGTAGCTGAGGAGCTGGCATTGGAGCAAGCCAAGAAGGAATCAGAAAACCAGAGACGGTAAGTTCCATGGAACCTCAGGTTTGCCTGGACTTGTGACATGCAGCAATTTTTAAGGAAGGTTTATTTACTTTATTTTATGTGTAAGAGTGCCTTGCTTGCTTATGTATCTATGCACTGCCTATGTTCCTGGTTCTTCTAGAGGTCAGAACAGGGCATTGATCCTCTGGAACTGGAAGTAGAGACAGTTGTGAGTAACAGTGTAGGTCCTCTGTCTGCAACTACAGCAGATATTCTTAACTGTTGATTTAAAACAAAACAACAACAAAACCACTTTATTTTTTGTATGGCAGAACTCCAAAATGTGCTGAACATATACGTTTAACTCTTTTGCTTTGGGGTTATGGTTGGTAGAGCCTTAAATAATTTAATATGAGCTTTGTTTTCTTAACATATGGAAAATAGTTTCCAAAGATTCCCTAGGAATATTTAAATTTCTAAAAGAATATGTTTAAGATTGAATATTGAATTGTTCATTACTGTATATTAAAATGGATACTTTATAGGTTATGATGAATATTGTATGTCACACATATTTGGATTAACAAATAGCATTAATTAGTAATATACCAACTTTAAAAAGTTGAGATGCATTGGGATGGGAGGAGGGAGGGAACCATGGGGGGGGATACAAAGTGAGTAAAGTGTAATTAATAAAGAAAAATTAAAAAAAAGGAAAAAAAGGTTGAAATGCTATAGATTTTTGCATAGTTGAAAATGAAAGCCGTCTGTAATTCTGTCTTGCATAAATAACCACTCTTTCTATGTTATTCTTATGTTATTCCTATTCCTTGTTATTGTTACTATTATTAGCACTATAAGGAATAATAGCTAAAAGAATGGTCATTGAAGTGACAGAGTTAAAGCCTGGAACCAATCCATTACCATCCCGGGGGAAGTGATGCATGCATCATGGTACAAGCCTTCAGTGGAACACTAGACAGTCATGTTGATTCATGTGTGCTTTTTCAAATAATTTGCAGGAGCCATAGACTTGGGAGGAGCTGGGGAGAGAAGCAGTATGCAGAACAGCACAGACATCACATATAAACTAAACACATGTGTTTTAAAAGGGTGCTACTTTCTAAAGATATACTACGGTGCTCATTCATACAATTGCGCATATACTTTCTAACTCAAGATCAGAGTCAAGTGCTTCCCACTGTGCAGGTTCGATCTCATGTGTTATTTTCCCACTGGGAGCAGTAGGCACATGCCTGCATGGAGCAGGAGCTTAGAACCTATTTATAATTCATTTGACAAAGCTAGTAAAAGGAAACTTTGGATTGGATTGAAGTCCTCATCTGCCATAAGACCTTCAATTCTTTGGTCTTAATGACTTAAATTCTTTGGTCCTTCATTTCATTTCATTCTAAGTTTGAACTTAGAATGTATTCATACTACATATGGAAAAGAATATAAGCTGTCCAGGAAGTCCACCATTTTTCTAAGGAAATAAATAAAAGGTTATTACTTAAAAAATTGTGATATAATTAACACTTCCAGAAGGATATGTATCTATATAGTGGTTTCCTATGAAATACGTTATAATTATTTAATTGGTTTAGGTTGATAGAGTATATATAATTAGTGAAGTTTAAATATTAAAAAATTCACAGCAGTTTCATTAAGAAGTAAACCCAGCACATTGTAACATTTCTTATATCTTGAAATTATATTTTCTTTAATTAAATTTTATTTTCATAAGTATTTTTTTGGGGCGGCATCAAATTCATGTTTACTTTGCTAACTGTATTTCAGGAGTTCTCTTGTCTTCTTTTATTCTCATATAGTGCTGGCTTTTTCTTCAAGTAATTCACTGTGGTAGTATGTGTGCGTTTCCCTTCCTTAATTGACTCCCGTGTGCTCTGCTCTTGCCCATGAAAGGGAAGGGCAGGTGAGTTGAATGAAAGGTGCCGGTGAGGGCCACTTTCATATCTCCTGTGGAATGAGGTTGGCACCTATATGTAACCTGAAGAAGTGAGTATTGATAAGGGGTTTATTTTCCGTCGCCTTTTCAGAGAGCAGAGGGTGGTGCAGCTGTTATATTGTTATTTTTTTCTTTTAAAAAATGTTTTGCTTGAAGTCTTCTTTACGACAACCCCAGCTGTCAAATCTTGGCAAAAAGTATGTGTTCTTCTATATGACACTTGGAAGAATCTATAGCTCTCCCTCCATCCCCCCCCCCTTTTTTTCTTCTTCCCTTCACCAGAGAAGAAACTTAGCACAAGCATTAAGAAAGTTTTCAGTTCAGTCTTTTAAAAGCAGCATCTTGGTGTGATAGTGCCTTTATGCATTGTCGTGTCTGTTGCCTAAATTTGAATAAAGACTTCTGGGTAATTCTTCCAAATAGTTCTTCATGCTATTGCATTGTCATCTGTATAAATCCTGTTGATCAAGTTTCTTTTCCCTCAAATGCACACAGAACCAGCTACAAGTTCTCCAGGGGGTTAGATCTGAACAAAGGTACACAGACAAGTAAATTTCAAATATACCTGTTTGAGAAGCACATTGAAATTAATTTCCACTGTGATACTTGATATTTTTCTTTATAGAATTATTATTGTAACACCACATACTAGTTTTTAATTGATGCAAAGCATTGAATGTTCTAATGGATTGCCATGTAATGTTTTCATGGACTTGTGCACTGTGTAATATTCAGTCATGGTATATCTGTCTCTCTTCTTAATTATTTCTTATTTCTGTGAGGTGAAAATGTTTGCCTTTTTTTTTTTTTTAAGTGTAATCTTTTTCTTAAGCAATTTTTAAAGCTCATTCAAAACCAGAGACAAGTACAGGAATTCCCACTGGCACAGTGCTCTGTCAGGCACTGAGTGGTGTGTCGAAGCAGGAAGATTTAACAGGCTGGTGAGCTTTGCAGCAGAGAAATAGCCCAAAATGTCTTCTGTAAGGACAGTTTAACTCATGACCTTGTTTCAGGGAGTATTCTTTGGACCAAAAGATCAAACCTTAACTCTTAACTTAGGAAGCCGGATAGTTCAGAAAGGAAGGCTGAAGAACCACTCACTCATTAGCTAGGGGAGATTGGAACTAGCTAAGCCTTAGAAGCGAAGCCATTTCTCGCCAGGAGATCCAGATGAGGGTTGCTTAACAAAGTGGGTAGTGGGTGGTGGAATCACACTGAATTGAAGAGGCCATTGATTTCAAGATGTACCATTGAGAAAAAAAAAATGGCTGCAGATTATGATAGTGTTTAATTTTTTAGAATTTCTTATTAAAATAACCCCTTTAAGACTAAATTTTGAAAACAACAACAACAACAAAACAATCCATATACACCTGTATTCATAAGCGAAATAAATTGGCTAAGGCAGTGGTTCTCAACTGGGAAATGTTGGTCTCCAGGGGACATTTGGCAGTATTTAAGAGGCATTTTTGGCTGTCACACTTGTCATATCTTTTCTAGTAGATGGCATTCAAGATGCTTTTAAATATTGTGTAGTTCAAAGGATAGACTCCTTCCTACCAGCAACAAGAATCATCTGGCTAAAATGCAAGTTGTGCCAACAGTGAGGTCCCTGGGTTCAAGCCTTTTCCAGGCCTTTTTACACTGGGCTTTACTTACCTGATTCACATTTGGATGCTCAGTCTTGATATCCTTGTTTTCCCATATATCATATTCTGTGCCTCCAAAACCTTGGTGATGTAGCATTCTTTAAAGGATTGCTCACCTACCACTCGGCAGATTTCCAAGTTGCTGACACCACTTCTGCAAATTTTGATGCTCTGTGCAAATGGTGATACCCGAGGCAGGACTGCCTCTCTGCAGGCAGGAGTACCTCAGGCATGTGGAAGTGTGGAAAGTATGTGTTGGTGAAATCAGCCCATATGTGTGCCAGGCCATGAGATCTATCAGAGTGGATGGCACCTTGGCAGGCTTGCCTTGCATTCCTCCTGGAGCAGATGCTCTTTTTCTGCTGTTCTGAGTAGTCATGGCATACACATTTAGACAAAATCATGTAAGCCAAGTAGATTTCTTCAGTCCATTCTGATTTATTCCCACTTTTAGATTCTGTTCCTTTATTTCTTATGCTGGCTTTCCCTGTGAGGAATCCTTATTAGAGTCATAGGGCTACAGGAACCTGTGTCATATGCTCATTAACCCACAAAACAACCACCACATCTGTATGGACTTTCCATTCACTGTAGATCTGTGGGGCACTGGGCTGCTTTGCTGAGTTAGTAAGTTCATGCTCTTGAATTACTGATGATAAGCCTCCATGCTTAAAGCCTTTTGTCTAATTTGGAATCATGCATTTGCTCATCAAAACGTGATGGCTGGAGTGGTCGATTGGCCTGCTGCTGAGGGGCCAGAGGAGCTAACCTGTTTTTGCTGGGACAGTCTGTTGTGTGTGCAGGCTGAGGTTGTCCATACTGCTTGTGGACAACCTACAGCAGGCCAGTGTCAAAAGGCACAGTATACTATGTGACAGTGTGAACATAGTTTTTAAAAATGTGATTTCTGTCTCCGCCTGTTCTGCTTTCAAAAAGCCAATCTCTGACAGCAAGAAAAATGTGACTACTTTTGACCTTTGACCCTTGGCATTTAAATTTGACCTCTTTACCTATAAAGCCAAGTGAGAGTATTTTAGTTTTAATAACCTTTTTTCAAGAAATCAAGAAAATAGTGATGCAGCTAGCTGTCCGCTAAGCGAGTTCCTGCCTTTTGTTTTTGAATGGTATCAGTTAAGATCTACCCTCAGATTTAGTACTTTGGAAAATTACACTAGATCCATTGAATCTTAACTTAGTTTAACAAGTGGTTTAACAAATTAGTCATACATTTTATCAGCTGTCTTCTTGCATAACATGGTTCCCTTATTTTTCCATTGATAGCAGTATGGACGCCAGAAATAGGGCTTAAAAAATTCTTGTATCTTTTAGTTCCTTGTGATAGCAAAATCCATGGTAATGTTACCTTCTGTCTAAATCCATTTTGTTTAATAATTTTTGACTTTATTGTTAGATACATTCAG